TTTATTAACACTGTGTAATATGAAAACAGGTGAATGATTAAACTATCATCAATTTTCTCATTTGTTCTTTCTTCATAGTCCAAAACTTCAATAGAATATTTTGGAAAAAGACCATGAAGCATGCATCTTCTCAAAATTGAAAAAGAATCAAGCAAGAACCTTTAAACCAAAGGAGGGAAAATTCTTTTAAGCTCTTAAAAAATGTGACATCAAACAAATAACAAACACAAAATACAGAATCACAAGCTCATAGATTATGGAATAAAAGGACTGGCTTTGGACAATAAATAGTTACAAACATGAAGCTTAGTTTGGTTGCTCATTTTACAATATGCAAAATCTGATACCTGATAAAGGTTGTTTTACCAACTCCGGGAGGACCTATGACCAAGATGGATCCTCCCCCTTCGACCAAGTCCCGCAGGATCTCAGCACTTCCAGATACTGCTCGACCCACCCGACAAGTGAGACCAATGATTTGCATTTTACGGTTTCGAATTGCACTTATTCGATGTAAAGATCTATCAATACCCGAGCGGTTATCGTCTGCGAAATCTCCAACCTACTAAGATCAAGTAACTTAACATGAATCCACCTTTCCACAAACATCCCAATTCCAGCACCAGAATACAGATTTCAAACAGTCCTTACTGACAAAATATTATATAGTGTATGTGTATCAATCAATACTCCCTACTCAGCAAATCCAATCACAAGAAAGACCAAGATTAACCATTCTCCAATAACTTAGAATATATACATATAAAAAGGCAATTACATCACATAACACTTAAAAGGGATAAGATCTGAATATTTTTTTACACGTTATAACAGGACAACACTTTTTAAACATTAAAATACTGCAATCACATACAAAACAGAATTGACCATCCACTTTCTGTGGTACAACAAAATAGCTTCAAATAAAACCTACTACAATCAAAACTCAATAAACTATTTGAATAGGCAAAAGCTATTTCATTTTAATTCTCCCACTATGTTAACTGTTAAGTAACTCTACTTATATAACATGATCTGTCACAATGACTATGAACTCATACAATCAAATGCAATTTAAATTATATTTATATCACCTTAGATATTGCATGCATTAAATCTTCATGCTTCACAACTTGTTCTGAGATCACCCAATCCCCAGAAGGGAACCGAGCAAGAGGCTTTCTTCCCAAGTCCATCACCACCTCAATCAACTCACCAAGATCCTTATGCATACACAAACCCCTTCTCATTTTCAATGGCAACAATTCAATAAACAACTCCAGCTCATTATCTCCCACGGACCTCGAAGTCGAATCCGAGTTTTGAGAATCCGCCACCAACCCATTTCTAGACGCGACCCGATCGCTCGGCCGTCTGAAGCTCGGTGACTGAATCGACGGCGGTGGTGAGTTCTGAGAAAAGATTGTTTTACGGCCACGACGCGTTCGACGAAATGACGACGAGATTGAGGTGTTGAGGTAACTCATAGTTGAGATTGGAATCATCTTGTTGGCTGCGTGCCATGAACTGTTAATGTCTATAAGCACAAACCGCGAATTCAAAGATCTCATTTTTGTTTCTGTTCTCTTGTTTTTGTGTTTCAATTTTCAGGTTTTATGTACACAAAAAGAAGACATAATAAGAATATTTGAAGGATCTATTAGCTAGTCCACTACAAGCTGTTTTTGTTTTTGCGTTCTACACAGCAAAGAGTTGAGACAATTTAATATGTACAAAGTGAAAATGGGAGGATTGAGAAGGAAAGGATGTGAAGGAGGGGAAGATTCGGAGGGATCTCCGGTGGGATTGGAGGGAAGAAGGTGAAGTGGGTTCCACATAGGAAACCAACAAACTGTTAACGACCGTTTAAGCAAAGGCCAACAGAACACGTGGGCCTCCCAACAACACATGTTAGAAGAACAATTTCGAGATGTGTTGTGTTAACTTGATTTGTGGAACTCTTTCGAAGACTTTTCTCTAATATTGAAAATTAAAAAAAAAAAAAAAAAAAAAAACTAATATTTATTTTATAATTAAATATATTTCATTATTTGTTAAAGCATTATATTACACTTATAACCTAATCTCATAAATAGTCTCTCATAATCTCAACGTGACAATTGATAATGAGTTCTGCCTATCCAAAAATATATCTTGTTTGTCAAATTACGAGTTAAACAATTGCATATTGTTACGTTGGAGTTGTGAAAGAAAGTTTGTAAGATTGGATTGTTACTCATTTTTATTGTTTCTTAAAATATCATTAATGCAATTAAAAAGAAAATCGATGTTATTAGAATAATAATTTTTTTTAATTAAAATATCAATCCAATTTCTCTTAATTTTCAAAGAGAATTTCAAAATGTTGGCATTTCTTTTTCAAGTACACTCACTTTCCCAATTTCTCTGTCCTTGCCATAACCATTATGAGGGTAGCGATCTGAACCACCATACCTATCACTTGCAATACGATCTCCACCAGGTTGGTACTTATATTGTTACAAAGAGTAATAATGAAGTTACCGAATGATGCACATCGAATTTTTATACCAAATGACGTGACGTAATCCTAACAATCGATTAATATTAATTCATAATTAATCGGTGATCATGATTTCGTCACACTATTCGATGCACGCATTTGGTACACATCCTTCGGTAACTGTATTATTTTCCTGTTACAAAATGTTGATCAAAGAAAAATAAGGCTTTATCTATGGCAGTGACAAACCCTTCCATTTTTGTGTTAACTTGATTTGTGGAACTCCTTTCGAAGACTTTTCTCTAATATTGAAAATTAAAAAAAAAAAAAAACTAATATTTATTTAATAATTAAATACTATTTCGTTATTTGTTAAAGTGCTATATTACATTTACAATCTAATCTCACAAACTTTCTCTCACAATCCCGACGTAACAGCTCGTAATGGGTCCTATCTATCAAAAAATAGATCTCATTTGTCAGATTGTAAGTTGACCATTTGTATACTGTTACGTCGAAGTTGTGAGAAAAAATTTATAAGATTGGGTTGTGACCCATTTTTATTGTTTCTTAAAATATCATTAATGCAATTAAAAAGAAAATCATGTTATTAGAATAATAATTTTTTTAATTAAAATATCAATCCAATTTCTTTGAATTCCAAAATGTTGGCATTTCTTTTTTAAGTACACTCATTTTCTCAAAACTAAAACTAATTAAAGTTTGAATTTATTGATTTGACGTCAATAAAGGAAATGATTTTGGGTATACTAAACTGACAAACGAATCTCACAAATTTTCTCTTACAAACCCGATGTATTAACTCACATTATCACGTCAACTCACGGTTTTGACTAAACATGAACGGTCGTTTCTTAGGGATGAACGACCATTCATCATATTATCAATTCCATCATAGAATGGTCATTCTTCTAAGTGGAATGGTCATTCCATATGAAGGAATGGCTATTCCATGAGGAATGGCCGTTCCTGGGAGATGAAATGGCTATTCCATGAGAAATGACCATTCCTCGTCCAAGGAACAACCGTTCCATGACCATTCCTCCATTTGTAACTGTCATTCCTTGTTTCTTAGTTCTAGTCGAAATTATCTTGCAACAATTCTGGTGGGGGCTGCCAACTCAGGTGTTATGTGGGGCTCTTTTTATCTTTCACTTTGAATGAGATATATTGTTATAATTGAAAAAAAAAAAAAAAAACACACACACACACACAACACACACAACATATATATATATATATATATATATTATATATATTATATATATATATATTAATATATATATATATATAGATATATATATATATATTTCGCCCTTTACAATTATTTCAAAGCTTTATATTTACAATTATAAAAAAATTAAAATATACCTTATATCCTTCTAATCTAAGGCAAACACGATTACTTTTTTTTTTTTTATATCTTCATTCGGAAAATTCTTTATCAATTTATTTCTCATTCTTCATCATCATCATTTTCTTTTTTTAAGTTTTATGTTTTGTAAAAGAGTAAAAGAACTCTTCCCACCCAAGGCTTGCCTTACTGAAGTTTCCACTTAAAAAGTTTCAAAATACCACTTTCTCACCCAAAGTTTATATTATGTTAATACCCAAACCCGATTCTGACATGAAAATTCTCTATGTCATCACCATTTGAACCTCTGGTCTCTTCTTTACAAAACACTCCCGTACTTGATTGCTCACCGATTGTTGGCCACTACAAAGCTAGAGTTTCTTGTTCTTAGCTAATTTCTTACAGCAAACATTCAATCAGTCACTACCATTCGATCCACAGGCTTCTAATTTACAAAACCCCTCTTACCCTGATTCCTAGTAACTCGTCAAACGCCGACTGAGAAAGTGAAATGTATTTTGGATACTAACAGAATATAAACTTTGGATAGGAAAGTAATATTTTGAAACTTTTTAGGTGTAAAAAGGTCATTAAGGCAAACCTTGGGTGGGAAAAAGTCGTTTACTGTTTTGGAAAACTATCATCAATTATATTGTTTAAATGGAAAACTTTTAATATAACAAAAAAATTACTAGAACTTAAATTAAATAAGATATTTATGTTAGTTTTTCTTTTTTAAGCGTTTTTAGAGTTAACTTTATAGAAACATGAGACAATAAAAGATTTCAAATCTTGAACAAAATCATAAACATATTTATGAATCCTTCCTACTAATTTTTTAATATATATAAGAATCATGGTTAGTAGTTTTTCCAAATACCCTTATTTAATATAGAAGATGGGGGCTAACGATAAAAATGGTGGGGTTAAAAACTACTCCCCATAAACGAATATGAAATTAATTGACATTAGGTTCAAGGTTGAAACTCTTCATAAATTCTCAATTGTTTCCACACACACAGTGGGTATATTTCAAAATAAGCATCGGTTTATTTAGCAGGTACTCAAATCGGGCTTGAACAAATAGGGCCACAGATCCAATTTTAGAGCCCAAATCTAATGGACAACATGTAATTGCTTGGACCAGCAAATTGAATGCAGATAAAATTTGGGAGTAATTTTGTATTACAATTAAATTAAAGAGGGAGAAACAAACTTAATAATGATCATTTCTCATAAGACATTTCATCATTTACATTGTGGTACCTGGTTAGTCCTAACTGTTGTCAACTGTAGTAGAAACTAAAATGGCTAAAGAAATTATGCTGTACAATGATGCTGAAGAGAGAAAAAAACCTTAACTCTATTCCCAACCCATCAAGATTTTTCTTACATGATCTTGGATCTTGTTCCTTGGCTCAGAATTGCCATCCGCTTCGTCAAGCAAGATTCTATACACTTCCCATTCCCGGTCGTGGATCATGCGTCTCCCTATCTCGACCTAAGGCATCAAAGGACAAAAGAAGATGATAGTATTACGCATTAGATTAATTTCAATAACATTCTTTTATGGAAATTAAAAGTTGACAAAGGGCTAATACCGAAAAGATGCAAATGTTGAGAATCTTGAGAGCTAGTGTGATATCGTGGAAAACAAGAGGTCGACCCCTGCCAGACAATTCAACAGGATTTGCTACTAGCAGCTCTGTATCAGGGCCCCGGCTCACCACAGCAACTCTAAGAGGGTGCAGAAGCTCCATCCTCAGACGAGAGCACAATGCATTTTGTTTGTTTGGGTCCATTATCTTCTTCCCATCTGCTTGCATTATGAACAAGTCTAACTCACAGTTGCCTTTTGGGTTGGCAAAAAATCGTCCATAAGAAAGCTGCCATATAACATAAACAATTTTCCAGAGTTAAGTATGAATGACACTCAATAATGAAACGAATCTGACTCAATGAGAAGTTAAATGGCTCAAATTAAATAGTACCTGGATATTGTAGTCCTTTAGGGTTCTCATCATATCGTAAATGAGACCCTTGTGATCCTGGCAGTGGATTTGAACAAGAGTGTGAGAAGGGCTTAAGGTGTTGTCCACGGCAATGGATAGAGGAGTTGAACCAAGAAATCCACTAGGGGGTCCCACAGGCAGCTCCAAATTGAACATGTCTCCTGTGATTGCAGAAGGAAGAAATGAGGAAACCTGGGAGCATGCAGTTACATCTGGGCCAGCCAATTCGATCTCACAACTTATTAAGGTATTCCCTAACACAGTTTGCAAATGATGAACAGTTTCTTCCTGCCTTTTTCTAGTATGAAGAAGCTCCCTGATGAAAACACACGATTATATCAATTAGTTGCTGAAAAATAAAGCATGTCTCTCCCACCTCAATTGCACACACTCAATAACAGAGCTATAATAAATTTTGCAGCCATTTAAACAATTCTTTGGAAGTTCACGGTCACGGCTCCAGAAGTTAAAGCATTTATAATAGAATTTCAGACATTCACAAATAAACATTGAGCATTCCTTTTTAATTGCAAACAAGAAATGATAAAGATGCTTGATCTCAATCTAATCTTGTGCTTAACTGCAAATGCAAGGATAAATGACCCAAATTCCCTTATGTCAACTGAAAGTGACCAATACAAGCTTTTTCAGAGTGAAGAACAAATAGAATCAACTAAACCAAGATATATTCATATATCTTCGCTTGGGAACCCATCTGTCAATTACCAATCTACTCTTTTACACATCACTAAGAAAATAGTCAATACTAGCATCCTTTAGGAATCACTTAAATGTGAAACTAGTAGAAAAAGTTTAATAATAGTGGATAAAAGAGTAAAACTACATATCCCAAGAAATATCTGAAAAAATTCACACCCCAAGTGATGCATCACCTTAGTTGACATTCCCATATCATTTACCAAATCATCACTTCATTTACTGGTCAAAATTGGGATTGCACTTAGGATGTGTAGTATTATTGTGGATAAGAAGCCTGCCACATTATTAACATTCTAATGCAGTTGCTCATGTACACAGATAACCACCCATAGAAAGCAATTAGGAAACCTCAGCAGTCACATGGTCAAATCAAAAGATACATGGAAATCTTAGAGCAGTGCTCCACTTCATTGACCATTAAAAAAAAAAATTAAGACTTTCACAGTATCACCAACTTCAAGTTTTTGTTTTTGGTGCCCTTTTGGAGTGAATGATTGAATGCAGAATCTGAATCAGCAGCACAAAGATGATATGATAATGGTTGGTGGGCAATAAACATATGTCCAACTAAGAATAATTTATTGTAACCTTATCTTATTCAAAATGACGTGAAGCATACCTAATTCCATAAGGCGTTTGTTACATCAATTACTTTAGCCAATTTCACAAGTCAAGGATTATCTCTTTATTCCTAGTTGATAGCTCCAAGCTCAAAAGCTCTCATTTTGGTTAACATACGAGAAGAATGAAGAGAATTTGAGTTCTTACAAAGCACTTTAGAAGGTCAATTTTGCTTTGAGATTCCAAATTATCTTTTCTTTTTCTTTCTTACACCGAACAATCAAAAGTCTATAAGAATTAAACAAACGAACCAAAAAAAAAAAAAAAAGACAAAGAAGATAAAAGTTTAGCACTAAAGTTAAAGCAAAAGTTTCCAAGAACAGCAAACCTGGTATCAGTGACGAAAAAGAGGTCCATTACTTTGCCATCTGGGGTAGTGGATACTTTTACCCTCTTTATTGTAAGCTCTAGCTCACAAAGAACCTCAGTTACATCTACAAGGAAGGAAAAGACAAACAAAAAAAGAAGTTAATTGAATAATGTAGCTGCTCCATGATAGCTAATTAACAATACAGGTGCTCAAAACTGAAACATTCAATAAACGAAAAGGGCAACATCTTGTAGTGTTGCTCTTTTAAAACATCTTTACATTCTTTCACAAAACTTTTTCATTTTTGGATAAGAAATAACGAAATGACAATCATATCATTCTCAGAAAATTACCGACTAGGTTCGCTAACTATGAAAATAGCTAAGTTATTGGAAACCTGTCAATAAGTTCTCAGTACGTTCAGTCACATAGGCTCCAGCACACAAAATTCTTGAACGAATTATCAAATTTGTCAAACATGGCATGTGCACATGTAAATAGTACAACTGCCAGACTTAGTTATAAATCCCAATGGATCAACTTCCTCTTGGAACTTCCCTAAATGCCCAAGTATAGATTAAGACCACACTCATCATTCCCACTCATACTGCAATCACTTTTTGCGTCATTTAAAAATAACAAATAAATTTAAAAAAAAAAAAAAAAACTTTAAGGACCTTGTTCAAAAAGTCAAATAAATACAATTATTTTTTCAAAGATAAAATCAGTAAGCAAAGAACCCATACAAAGATTCTGTATAATTTTCCAGAAAATTCCAAAAGATGACCAGCACAAAGTCTAATAACGAGATATAAAATTATAGAACCCAAGGCTGACCCTTTTGAATATGGCAAAACATTTCGTCAAGACGATAAAAAATTTTATGGGAAAAGAAAGGCTACCATGTAACAGTCCTTTCCTGTCTGAAGAACACCAGAATTTCAAAAGAAACACATCCGGAGGCTTCGGTGGCTGATTTTCCAACCTGTAAGAGTAGATTCCAGAGGTCGAAAAATGTGAAGGACAGACCTCCAAAAGCCTCTTCTTCAACAAACTCCACCTTGTGGATGGTTTCCCCACCACCCAAAACACCAAGTAGCACCATTTACCATCAGTTGAGGCATCTTCACAGAACAAAAAAAACCAACACAACATATTCACTAATATATTCAAATAAAACCTAAATTTTATTAATAACAATATATCCAACTAAAACTTGAAAAATTAAAGCAAAATTATTCCTTTTTTTTTCCTCCCAAAAAACTAACTTTATGTCTTATTTTGGTCAACCATTCTCACAATGACCTCAAAACAACTAACTTCATGCTTCAATTAGATCTCCAAGACTGTTAAAAAAAAAAAAAAAAAAAAAGTAAAAACTAGAACAAAATACTGTACCTAAAGTACCAATCTCCAGCATTGCCGAAAGAATCAGGTTCTAAACTAACAACTTTCAAAATTCAACAAAAAACCAAAACAAACTACAACCCATTATTTTATTACCTCCAAATCATAGATCCCACCCTAAAAATAATAAAAAAAAGAAGAAGAAAATCCCAACAACAAAAACACTATGGTACTGTTCCGGTAACGTTACCAACCAGCCTCCATAAAAATGAAGAAGAAAAAAAGCATACCTCCTCTGCAGATGCTCAACCCAAAAAGCAAGATAATCCTGCACAAATCACACCCCAAACCAGTCTTGTCGGGACAGTTAACTGTAATAACAATGGAGTCACCCGGCTTCTCGGCTTGTCTTATCACTACAACATCTTCATACAATATCCCCATTTCTTGAACTCTGTTTTTTCACCTTCATAAAAAGAAAAAAAAGATAAAAGATACAAAACTTATTTAAAACCCAGACGGGTATCTCGGCTTTCTCTTTCTTCTGTGGTGTTGATTCCTTCTTGTTGTTTAGTTGAATCGCAAGTTGAAGATTCAGTCGAAAGAACAGTGTACAGAAACAAACATTTAAGTGAGAAAGAAAGAGAGAAGAATTACTGAATTAGAATGGTAGGATGTTGTTTTCTGCTTTTTTATTTTCACTGCTTTTTTTTTTTTTCCCTCTCTGCTTCTGATTCAATTTCAATTTCAATTTCTCGTCATTGTTTCCATTAACAGTTGAGATAGAGAATTATCGTGGGAATTTCAGAAGACGCGGCGATATTTTAGCTTCAATGCAAGTAACACACACTAGTAAAGTTAGATTCCCGATCTAATCTGACAAGAACTCTAATTTGTAAAAGATCGCGGCCATCTTTGTAAGTTAATGAATTATAAATTATTATTTGAGAGTTATAAGATTTGATCGTGGATCTAATATTATTAATAAATTATTTATTAAAAAAATATTAAATTTATTATAAAGAGAAAGGTAATTATAAATAATATAATAAATTTTAAAAAATTAAAATGTATTTGATATTGATAAATAAAAATTTATTGGGAAGTGTTATATTGTCCACCTAGTGGCAGACTTTAGCAATTTTTTATTATTTTATTATTTTTTATTATAAGATTTTTGCTCCATATGATATGATAGATTTAAATGTGAAAATTACATGTAATGAATAAGTAAATGACATATATATTTAGATGAGCAAATACATTGTACAAAATTCAGTGAAATTAAATTTACCAACTTCTTAATTAGAATGGTAAGACTATTAGAAATTTTAGCATAATTTTAAACAATATGTAAGGTGTTATACAAAATGTGGCTTTCCACTTTCATGCTTAGCATCCATATAACATGCTTAATGTTTTGTAATATGTCATTCCTCCATGGCATGAGTGAAATATGTGTCTTTTGTAGGCAAGTTTTTATCGTTTAATTTAGGGGGCGCAGAAATTGCTATATGAAGGCCCCCTCCCCTTAATAATTTTCCTGTACCAAATTGATAGAATCTATTACATGCTAGAAAGGTGGTAGGTCTATTGAATCAAAAGACATCGTTCCTCCTAAACAAACAAATTGAGAAATCACCCCCCTTCTAAAGATATAATGATCCCTAAAAAGACCCTGGTCTTTAAAATTCCTAAAGGAATACAAGAGCAGAAGAATGAGGAAATTTTTATGAACTATGCTTATACAGGAGAAATATGGAATTGTGAAACGATTATCATTGATGAAATATTCTCGTTTGCAGTAGCTACTAGCTAGTGAAATCATGAAGGATGATAATTTTGAAGCACGTATGATTGATGAGTATAAACAAAGATATAAACAATTCAAGCAAAATTAGCTTTACTTCCAAAATGACAAGTATTTAGGCCTATAGTCCAAACACTTGAAGATGTGAAACCAGTTGGATTTAAATGGGTTTTTTTACAGGGAAAATGAATGAGAAAAATGAAATTACTAGACATAAGTCTAGACTTGTAGCTCAAGGTTTTTCCCAAAGACCGGACATATATTTTGATGAAACATGTTCACGGTGTAATGGACACAATCATATTCAGATATTTAATTAGCTTTGGCTTACAAATTGTCAAATTGAGCATATTTCATATGGAATACTTATCCATCAACCATCATATGTTGAAAAGCTCCTAAAATGTTTCAACATGGATAAGGCTCGCCCTCTAAGTACATCTATGGTTGTTCGGTGTCTCGATCCCAAGAAGGTTCCATTTCATCCTAAAGATGATGATGAAAAAAAATACTTTGTCCTGAAGTACCATATCTTAATGCAATAGGTGTTTGTTATACTTAGCACAATGTACTAGACGAGACATAACATTTGTCGTAAACGTACTAGCAAGATTCAGTTCTAACTAACACAACAACATTGGAACAGAATAAAGCATATTATTCTTTACCTAAGTGGAACTAAAGATTTGTGATTATTTTATTCAGATAAGTCCACTAGAAATATCGGTTTAGTTGGATATCTAATGTCGAGTATCTTTTTTACCCTCATAAATGACACTTACGAATAGGATAAGTTTTTACTTGCAATGGAACAACAGTCTTATGGCGTTCCACAAACCAACTTTGGTTGCAACATCTTCTAATTATTTAGAAATTATTGCACTATACGAAGCCAACTAAGAATGCATATAGTTATGGTATGTCATCCATCATATCTAAGAAGCATGTGGATTTCCTTCCATTATAGATATTCCTTCCATAATATATGAAGACAATGCAACTTTTATTTCTCCAATCAGAGGAGGATACATAAAAGGAGATATAACAAAACATATATCGTTGAAGCTTTTTTACAGACATGAGCTCCAAAAGAATCAAACAATTGACTTCAAATAGATACGCTTTAGTGATAATTTTGTAGATTAATTCACTAAAACATTACTGACATCTACTTTTGAGAGATTGATGTTTAGCATCGACATGCGGCTTTCCACTTTTATGCTTAATGTCCATGTAACATGCTTAGTGTCTTATAATGTGTCATTCCATGACATTGGGTTATGGATGTGAGTGACATGTGTGTCTTTTGTTGGCGGTAGAAATTGTTGTATAAAACGCCTTCCCTTTTGTAATTTTCCTGTACCAAATTGAGAGTGTTCATGCAAAAAACCGTATTGGGCTCTCGATTGGCCCTATAGTAAAAGGCTCCACGCCAAGGCCAAACTCTGGTTGGTCGAATAGCAAAAGGATCCGCACCAAGTCCCAACTTTTGTTGGCCCAATAACAGATGGCTTCATGCTGCAACCCAACTCTAGTTGGGCTCATGCCAAAAGCTCAACTTTGGTTGGATCGAAAGCTTAAGGCTCAATGCTACAACCCAACTTCGATTGGGCCTATATCAAAACTCATCCTGTGAGAGGACCATCCAGCAAGATGGCTGATTTTGTGAGAAAAACCGCTCTATGGGTTGACTCAAAAGCTTAAGGCTCAGTGCCATAACCCAACTTTGATTAGGCCTATTTCAAAACTCATCCTGTAAGAGGACCATCCATCAAGATGGCCGATTTTGTGAGAAGAATCGCTCTATGGGTCGGCTCATTCTACAAGATGGTCTACACTACGAATCAACCTACTTCACGAGTTGGGCTACTCTATGAGTTGGATCACTCTACGATCAAGGCCACTCTACGAATTGGGTCAACCTATATGTTAGGCCATTCCACGAGTTAGGCCTTTTTATAGAATAAGTTACCTCAGGCTCCAGCCCATCAGTCTACACTCATCTCTACGTCTCATACATACCATAATTCATCCAAGACTCTCAGTCTTACATAAACTAGTACTCCTACTCCTACATGGATTAGCACTATGAGTTTTCTGTTTACTCAAACTCCTATTGTGAAAACACCTAGTTCTACAAGGACTCAAGCTTCCTTGGCTCACTATATAAACAAAGACCAACCCTCTCATTATTCATTCAATCACAGCCCCTCTCACTATTTTGCTAAGTTCTTGATCCTAAGAACCACCGTCTTTCCTCGCCGTAGAGCTTATTTTTTACTAATTCCACTTCTTGTAATCACCATAAAGTCATGCCCTGGCCACTCTACGTCGATAAGTCGCACCCTAGCCAACCACTCTCAGTAAAACCCTTTCCTGCTCTTAGCCTTAATAAATTCCCTTAACCGTGCTGACTTAAGCGTCGAAGTGTCTACGATCGACACCACACCGGTGTCCCCCGAGCCTTCAAGTTCACTCTTCTTTGTCCCTACAAGTCTACAAGATTGTCAGTGGTTTCATCCTCACATGATCATTCTCATCCAATTCAACCGTAGATTTTACCGTCTACAGAGAGAATCTTTAATAAGAAGCACTAGCTCTTTTAAGCTCTTAAACTTCTAATTAATTTTAGTTTAGACTCTTTTGTTTTGGTACTCTTATATTTTGATCATAAGGGATTTCTTTGGCAATTTTTTTGAAGAAAGATGAATAACCAAAGTATTGAAATAGAATAAATAAATTTATGGAGTTTTTATTTACTTTAATAGGTGATCGATTTTATTACCATTATTTGGTTTCTAAAAATGATTCAGAAAGTTTAATTGGCTCTTAATTTTAACACAATATTTATTATAAGGTTGTGTAAAATATTAGGTCAAACCCATAAGGAGATGAGAAAAAGGTTGTAAATAGAGACTAATCTTTGATAGTAGAAAGTTAATAAAATTTTGTTTTACCATTTTTCTCTTACTTTTGATAAAAATTAAAAGCAATTTATAAAAGATAAAATCATTAAGCACAGGTTTGGTGTAAGAAAACAACAATAGTTATTCATATCTAATATCATGGACCATGACCTAAACGGATGTAACAATTCACATTGTTTGCATGTTGAGGAAACATGAAACCCATCCGAACACACAATTAATATCATTCTCATAAATGTTATCTATAAAACAACATCAATGGGTGTGTATGGTTGAAAACAACTTATTTTCTTAGTTTCCACAATATCACTTATTGGACCACTATGAGTCCGTTTCTTCCATTAATAATTTTTTTTTTTTTTTTTTTTTGGTGTTCAGGCCAACTATTTTAACTGATTCTCGAGGCCTATTGAATATCCTACAAGCTTAATATTTTATAGTAAACCATAAATATAATAAGTGATTCTAAGGTGATTCAAATTCAAGAAATCAATGAAATGAGCAAACCTTATTGACTGTCAGACTAACCCCTTGGTGTTAGCTTTCTTCCATTAATTTAATGCACCTATTGTATAATGGGCAATGGATACATCTAAAATTTCGATGCAATATAACTTGGGGCGGAAACAAGCAGCGACAAAACTAGAGACCAAAGTGTAATGTTTTATCTGAAAATAGTTTTATAGTATAGTTATTGTTTTAGTCTCTTTTGGTTTTGGATAGATACTATCAAAGTGATACCCTCTTGTTTTACACCCTGGATTATTATACAGTCCAATTTTGGGCACATTTAACGGTTGGGAGTTGGGACCATAATATTAATCAACATAATCAACCAA